AGAGCTGGGGTACAGGCCAGAGGTGCGGGAGGGTGAGAGGATTCACCAGAGACAGAGCGGGGAGCAGAACGGGCGGACTGACAGAAAACACTGCCGAGGGGAGCAGCGGGTGAGACAGGAGAGGTCTGCCGCATTATGTGGGTATCTCTCTGGCTGTCCAGGAATCGAACCCATGCTGCAGAGGTTGTGGACAGCTTCAAAGCACTGTGCTCAACCCCTGAGCCATTGGGGAGGTCCTATCTTCTCAGATCTTAAGGCCATTTATTAATGACTCAGCTCATCATACAGACCATCACCTCTTCTCTAACTACAACTGTGGACAGTATTTTACATTGTGGGGTAGAATTGGAGGCCCATTCAAAAACCCTTCCTCCTTTGAAGGGACGAAGGTGACAGAAAAAAGCACAGCAGCCAGCAGGAATTTGTTGTAAAAAATAAATTATTCAGTGGAGAAGTTACAAAGATTATTGCTCAATAATTAAATATTTTTAATGAGGGAAAATAATCTACATCCAGCCAGGAGACATAGCAATGGTAACATTTGAAACTCTGCATTGAGGGCCCTGCTGAGGGATGGTCATGGTGAGAGACCAAGAGAAACCAAACTCCTGTGTAAATACCAGTGGTGACCTAAGAGGCGACTGTGTTTTTCCAGCCAGTGAGCCTGTAACTTATTGTGGGGTCAGTAGCGGAGAAAAAGCTTCAGGCTTTTCCGCACTCCCACTGTGCATGCACAGTCGGCCAACCGGTGTGGCGTCATATGGCGTGGCATGCGTGGCATGGCGCAGCGCAGTGTGATGCAGTGCTGAGGGTGAAGGAGTGCAGTGGAGTGGATGGAGGTGAGCGCCCTGAGAGTGGCAGAGCACGACGGAGTGTGGGGGTGAACAGCGGAGAGCATGAAGACACCAACACAGCTGCTAGAACCAGTAATGGACCTACCTGGTATGGGATGGTATGGAACCCTTTGAAACCTGGGGAGGGATTGTGGGGTGGGCAACCACGAGCAGATGGTACTCAGTGGCCAGCCTCCTCGCCCAGTGGGCACGTCCCCAGGAATGGCCAGAGGTAGATGGATCCCTGGGCAATTGGAACAGGCCCTGTACGAATAGAAGAGGCCCTGGATAGATACAGTGCCTGCGAGGCGGCAGGGGCTGTGGGATGGGTGTTTCTCACAGCTCTGCGAGAGTAGACAGAGAGTGATCCAGAATCCAGCAAGAACTGGATGAGATGAGGGAAGAGATGTGGAAACTGCATCAATGTTTGAGGATTCTGGAGGGAGAAGTTCAGAGAAACCAACCCACCATTCCAGAGATGCCAGACTCCTTCTCAGGAGAGGAGGAGAGGGAGGCTGGCCCTTTGCCTGAGTCTCAGCCAGTGGTGGCAAACCCACCTGCAACTCCAGAGATGCTGGACTCCTCCGGAGAGGAGGAGGAGGCTGGTCCCATGCTCTGAGCCCGCCCGGTGGTGACTCAGAAAATGAAGCAACAGTGGCCCTTGGCCCCAGGGGGTGAGGCTGCTGGACCACCACAGATGACAGAATTTACTACGTACTGACCATATGCCCCGGCGGAACTGGTGGACTTGGGTAAATAGTTCTGCCAGAAACCAGGGGAGCCTTTGGCTGCTATGCTTGTGGGACCTGGGGGTGGATGGGGTTTTTTGTATGGCACAAGAGATGGAGAGACAGGCCTCAGTGACTTTACACCTGTCCTAGAGACAGAGACCGCAGAACAGTTGGCAGTATGGCCAGGGAGACCACACCCTGCTGGAATGGATAATGGCTGCCATACAGACAGTATGGACTGATGCAGGAGACGTGCCGGGGACAGTGAGCAGATGGCAGACGTACACTGAGCTGGTACAGGTAATTCAGGAGTTGGGGATGCAGCAGGTCATGTTCAGTGTGAATACTCATGGTCTTCATGATGAGCGTTTCACAGCAGGGATGAGAGACTGGGTATTAAAGAGTGCCCCCTCATCCTCATTTGGATCCCTCATGGCAGTTCTAGCACCCTATGTGGAATGTCAGATACACGATGTCACAACCATGATAGCCAGCTGGGGTGAAATCAAGAGCTGGCACTCTCAAACTCAGAAAGGAATAAGGGTAATTGTTGAACAATCAAAAGGAATGCCAAGGAGGACAAAGAAGCCTCTTGGCAACACAGAGCCTGTAAAAGTTACCCATAACCAACTGTGGACAGATTTAGTGAGAGCAGGTGTAGATCGCATTAAAATACACGCAAAGCCCAATGCATATTTGTTAGAATTATGGAAGCAGCTGCAAGAAGCCACCCATGAGAAGAGCTGCTGCTAAGGGAAGCCTGAAGCTTAAGACCTCAGGCCTGCGCCCTGCTCCTGGATCACCACTTGTCGCCAACCCCATCTTGGGCGATGGCCTGGTCACTTTTGAATAGGGTGAGTGCCAAGGTACCCGTCCACAGGGGATGGACAGGTACTGGAGGCCACATGTGGAGCTTGCCATCCACTGGTCCCTGACTAATGTGCAAAGAGTTTTGGCTTTTGGTAGACACAGGAGCAGAATGTACTCTGCTCATGGAAATCCAGAAAAATTTCAAGGGTCTGCTATGGAGGCCAGAGTGTCAAGGTGACAGCAGTGAGAATATCTCTGGGGAGTGGGCGATTACCCCCGAAAGAGTATAAAGTATATGTATTGCCCATCCCAGAATACATCCTGGGGGTGGATGTACTATGTGGCTTATGGCTAGAGACCACGCTGGAGAGTTTCGCCTTAGAGTGTGTGGTAAAGGCAGTGGTGCAAGGAAATGCTAAGCATCCACCCATACAACTGCCAGTCCCTAGGTAAGTGACTAATACCAAGCGATATCCGTTGCCAGGAAATTACGGGCACAATATCAGAATTGGAGAAAGTGGGCATTGTGCGTACTCCCCACAGCCCCTATCAATTAGCTAGTGTGGCTGGTGAAGAAGCTCAATGGCTCTTGGCACATGACAGTAGATTATCATGAGTTAAATAAGGTAGTTCCCCCCTTGCATGCTGCAGTGCCTTCAGTGGCAGACTTGATGGATGTCTAAGCCACTGAGCTAGGCATGTATCATTTTGTAGCCAATCTGGCAAATGCTTCCCCCTCTCTACCCCATAGACACAGCTCCAGAGAGTCAGGACCAGTTTGCCTTCAGGTGGGAAGGCCGGCAATGGACATTTTCTGGGCTCCCACAGGGATACCTGCACAGCCCTACTCTGCCACGGGCTGGTGGCAGCACGTCTGGCCTGGTGGGAGAGGCCGTTTTCAGTGCGTTTGTATCATTACATTGATGCCATTTTATTGACTAGTGACTCTCTTGCAGATTTGGAAAAGGCAGTACCTCTCCTGTTGACACACCTGTAAACATGTGGCTGGGAAATCAACGAAAGCAAACTGTGGGGCCTGGACTGTCTGTTAAGTTCTTGGGGGTTGTTTGGTTGGGTAAGACAAAGGTTATCCCTGATGCTGTAATAAATAAAGTACAAGCTTACCCCACTCCAACCACAGTGAAGCAGCTACAAGCCTTTCTGGGCTTGCTGGGTTACTGGAAGGCATTTATACTTCACATGGCCCAGCTCCTATGACCCTTGTATATGTTGATATGTAAGGGGGCCAGATGGGATTGGTCAGCTGAGGCAGACACAGCATTTGCCACAGCCAAACAGACTATAAAGACTGCTCAGGCCTTGCAGGTTTTTGACCCAGCCCGACCCTGCTTGATGTGCATATTACTCAGGAAGGGTTCGGGTGGGTCTCTGGCAGAAATCAGAGAGGCTACATGCTATTGGGTTCTGGTCCCAACTCTGGAAGGGGGCTGAGGTTAGGTATTCCTTAATTGAAAAACAGTTAGCTGCAGTATATGCAGCCTTATTAGCTACTGATAGTAAAACTGCCACAGCTCCTGTCTTACTCAAGAGCCGGATGGGTACAGGACTGCACAACAAAGCCTCATAGTGGTACTGCTCAAACCCCCACTTTGGTGAAGTGGGGGTATACCTAGAACAGCACTGCACCCTGTCAACTAGTCCCTTAAGGGTAGAGTTGCAGGAGGTTCTTTGTCCAGTGATGTATGTCAGTATGGAACCGACTTTAGATGCCTGCATAGAAGCTGAACCTGAAGCTAATCCCTACAAGGAGGGATGGGCACTGATTCCAGTGGAGGCCTGGTATAGAGACAGCTCCAGCCAGGGCCAGCCAGCATCTTGGACAGCTGTGGCTGTACACCCAGAAACGGACACTATTTGGTTTGAAACCGGGACAGGACAGAGCAGCCAATGGGCTGAACTGCGAGCAGTATGGATGGTAGTGGCCCATGAACCTTCCCCTCCAGTCATTTGTATTGACGGTTGGACTGTGTACAGGGTTCTGACAACTGTGGATTTCCATGTGGACAGGCATGCATTGGCCAAGGTGGGGCCAGGCCCCATGGAAAAATCTATGGGATCTAGGGCATCAGAAACAGGTGACTGTTTATCATGTCACAGGACATGCCCCATTGGCCTCACCAGGCAACAATTAGGCAGATACCCTAGCCCGGGTTTGGGCTTGAAACTGCTCCGGGGTGGGATGTTGCGCAGTGGATGCATAGATGATTACTCCACGCAGGGCAAACGACAATGTGGGCCACTGTGCGTGCCTGGGGTCTACCGCAACTTTAGAGGAGTTTCAGACTGTTTGTGAAAAATGTGTAGTGTGTTCCAGGACTTACCCCTGGAGACATTTTGCATCCATAGGCCAGATGTTGCAGGAGCAGGTGCCCCTGACACACTGGCAGATTGACATCATTGGACCACTACCTCGCTCTGATGGACAACAGTATGCGGTCACCTGTGTGGACACTGCTACCGGGTTATTGGCAGCTTATCCTTCTCCACATGCAGACCATTGGCAGCACTGGCATGCCTATGTGCTGCAGATGGTCGTCTGCTGGTAGCGGAGAGCAACCAAGGGACTCATTTTATAGGAGCTCGGGTGCAGCAGTGGGCTAAGGACATGAGTGTTGAATGGAAGTTTCACACTCCCTATAATCCCAAAGCTGCAGAGATCACAGAGCGTTATAACAGCCTGCTGAAGCAAGGGCTGAGAGCTACTGCCCCCATTCTGATGCTGGCGGCTGGAGCTGACATCTGTGGGATGTGCCATGAGCACTAAATGAGAAGAGCAGGAAAGGCAGCCTGGCCCCAGTGGAGGCGCTGCTGCATCGTGCTGCTGCTCCCACCCAATTGCAGATACAAACTTCGGATATTTTGTTAAAGCCTGGATTGGGACAGCAGTGCAACATCCTATTGCCAACCCCAACTGGAGTGGACCCAGGGCAGACTGTGGACTGGGAATGGCCCTGGACTGTGAAGGCTCCCCCCATGCGCCAGGTGGCTCTGATAGCCCCTTGGGGTCGTGGCCTGGAGGCCAATTTACAAATAACACCATGGGTGACTGCACAGTGGCCTCCATGGGTGCGTGTTACCCACCCTGGGGTGGCAGATCAGCGGGCAATCCTAAAGGGGACATGACTCTGTGGCCTATTATGAGCTCACCACTTTTGCTACATGATGCCTCTTTGCTGGCAACGCGAGTGTGGTTCTCATGACCTGGAAGGCCACTGATGCCAGCTACAATATTATCTTTGGACATAAAATTGGCATGTATATTGCCAGATGGGAGGGATCTCCCATTGCTGGTACCAGCAACTTCTTTATCTTTCCGCTCCTAGAAGAATTGAACTTAGTTATGTGGTGATGTATATATTGTTTATGTGGGCCGTGGCTGCAGTGTTTATGATTGTTAAAGGAAACTTGTATAATCTTGTACATAGACTGTATGGCAGAAAACCCTGAGGGGATGGATTGTGGGGTAAGTAGGGGGGAAAAGCTTCAGGCTTTTCCGCCCTCCCACTGCACATGCGCATTTGGCCAACCAGCATGGCGCCATGTGGTGTGGTGTGGCATGGTGTAGCATGTGTGGCGTGGCGCAGCACAGTGTGGTGCGGTGCTGAGGATGGAGGATTGCTGTGGAGTGGACGGAGGTGTGTGGCGGAGAGTGGCTGAGTGTGACGGAGTGCGGCGGCAAATAGCAGAGAGCATGAAGACACCAACACAGCTGCTAGAACCAGTAATGGAACTACCTGGTGTGGGTTGGTTGCGCTACACTTATATTCTCTCTACAATAATTTTTAAAAAGATATAGAGAAAATAAATGATTGAGGGGACCAGTTTACGTCCTTTTGCCTTAATCCACCACATTCATTAAGAAAAACTCATTGTGGTAATAGCACCAAGGCCCAGCACCATGACAAGGAGCATGGATACAGTGACAGGTGGTACCTGGTGTCAGGCGTGAGCTCCTGTCTTCCCTGCTGGCCCGACAATGACCACTTGTAGTACTTTGTTCAAGGGAAAGCCCCAATGTGACAGCAGGTCTGATAGAATCTAGTAGTGACAATGCAAATGACCTTTTCATATTTCATGTGTCCCCCTATTCTCTGGACATTGTCAAATATTACATTTTACTGATGAATAAATAAACTGGAATTAGAAAAAATACTAATACTGCCATGATTTATCAGATGTGGGGTTATTTAGTTTAACATTTTGATGTTTATTTTAAAAACCATTATGTAATAAGTGTAAAATTGTGTGAATGTAAATATAGTTAGAAAGGGAAATGTGATGCCCAAGTAATATATTTCACTTTTTTTTAAAGATTTATTTATTTATGTATACAAGATAGGGGGGTATAGGCCAGAGATGTAGGGGGTGAGAGGATTCACCAGAGACAGAGTGGGAAACAGAACAGGCAGACTGATTGAAATACACTGCTGAGGGGAGCAGCGGGCGAGACAGGACAGGTCTGCCACGTCATGTGGGTCACCTCCCTGGCTGGGGATTGAACTTGTGCTGCAGTGGCTGCAGTTAACTTCATAGTGCTGCATTTTAACCCCTTGCACCAGCAGGAAAGGCCCTCACTATTGTTTTATTTTTAATATTTTATTTTATATAATTCTTAAATCACTTTTCATCTTTTTACAATGTATGCATTTTCTTTTTGGTTATAGTCCCCATACAATTCCGCCCCCCTTATTTTGACTCTAGTTCTTCCTCTCCCCACCCCTCCCTGATCCCCCCACCCCAGTGTGTCTCTGGTTTATAGTTGCTTGTTGATTTTGATTATTATTTTGCATTGATTAGTCTGTTTCCTGATCTCTTATTTAGGTTTTCTAAATTCCTGCTATGAGTGAGACCATCCGGTATTTTTCTTTTTCTTTCTGACTTACTTCACTGAAGATGATCCCTTCTAGCTCCATCCATGTTGCTGCAAACTGCATGTGTTTATCTTTTTTTTTTGATTGCTGAGTAATATTCCATTGTGTATATGTACCACATCTTCTTGATCCAGTCATCCATTTTTGGGCATTTGGGTTGTTTCCATAGCTTAGCTATTGTAAATAGTGCAGCTATAAACATAGGGGTGCAGGTGCCCTCTGGAATTACTGTTTCTGTGTAATTTGGGTAAATACCTAAGAGTGGAATTGCTGGATCATATGGAAGCTCTATGTTTAGTAGGTCCAGAAATCTCCACACAGCTCTCCATAGTGGTTGGAACAGTTTGCACTCCTACCAGTAGTGCAGGAGAGTTCCTTTTTCTCCACACCCTCGCCAACATTTGTTGTTGCTAGTTTTTTTAATATGTGCCATTCTCACTGGTGTAAGATGGTATCTCATGGTAGTTTTGATTTGCATTTCCCTGATTACAAGTGATGTTGAACATGTTTTCATATGCCTGTTGGCCATTTGCATTTCCTCTTCAGAGAAGTTTCTTTTTAGCTCCTCTGCCCATTTTTTGACTGGATTATTTTCTTTGTTTTTGTTGAGTCTCATTAGCTCTTTGTAGATTTTTGTCATCAGTCCTTTATCATTAGTGTTGTGTGCAAATATGTTCTCCCAGTTGGTGGGGTTTCTCTTTGTTTTGGTTTTTGTCTCTTTCGCTGTGCAGAAGCTCTTTAATTTGATGTAGTCCCAGCTATTTATCTTTGCCTCACTATACTGCTTTGGGTGATGTGTCTGTAAAGATGTCTTTGAAGTGCATGCCATGTAGTGTTTCAGCTATATTTCCTTCTATATATTTTATGGTTTCAGGTCTTATATCTAGTTCTTTAATCCATTTTGAGTTGGTTTTTGTGCATGGTGTGAGGTAGTAGTCAAGTTTCATTCTTTTGTATGTAGTGACCCAGTTTTCCCAGCATCATTTATTGAACAAACTTTCTTTGCTCCAGTGCATATTCTTTGCTCCTTTGTCAAAGATTAGTTGACCATAAATCTGTGTGTTTATTTCTGGATTTTCTATTCGATTCCATTGGTCTGTGTGTTTGTTCTTATTCCAATACCATGCAGTTTTGATGATTATGGCTTTGTAGTATAGTTTGAAGCCTGGGAGTGTGATGCCTCCATTCCCTTCTCTTTTATTCAGGAGAGCTTTGGCTATTTGGGGTTTTTGGTGATTCCATATGAATTTCATCAATAATTGTTCTATTTCTTTGAAAAATGTCATTGAAATTTTTATTGGAATAGCATTGAATCTGTATATTGCTTTTGGTAGGATGGCCATTTTAATAATGTTTATTTTTCCAATCCATGAGCAGGGGATGTCTTTCCATTTCTTTGTGTCTTCTTCTTTTTCTTTTAACAGTGTTTTATAGTTTCATTTGTATAGGTCCTTTGCCTCTTTTGTATGGTTTATTCCCAAGTATTTGATTTTTTTTGTTTCGATAATAAAAGGGATGTTTTTTTTAATTTCTTCTTCAGATTTATTGTTTGTGTATAGGAAGGCTACTGATTTTTGTGTGTTGATTTTGTATCCTGCCACTTTACTAAACTGATTGATGAGTTGAATTAGTTTTTCTGTGGTGTTTTTGGGGTTCTCTATGTATATTATCATATCATCTGCAAATAGTGATAGTTTGACTTCTTCTTTTCCTATTTGGATTCCTTGTATGTCTTTCTCTTGTCTTATTGCTCTGGGTAAGACTTATACCCAGTATTTTATTGAAAAGCAGTGGTGAGAGTGGACATCCTTGTCTTGTTCCAGATCTTAAGGGAAATGCTTTCAGCTTTTCGCCATTGAGAGTGATACTGGCTGTTGGCTTGTCATATATGACCTTTATGATGTTGAGGTATGTTCCTTGTATCCCAAGAATTTCAAGGGCTTTTATCATGAATGGGTGCTGCACTTTGTCGAAAGCTTTCTCAGCATCTATTGATATTATCATATGGTTTTTATATTTCTTTTTGTTGATGTGTTGGATAACGTTGATTGATTTTCACATGTTGAACCATCCTTGTGTCCCTGGAATGAATCCTACTTGGTCGTGGTGAATTATCTTATGGATTTTTGCATGTAGTTTTTCTTTTCCCTGCTGCCTGTCTTCTACTTTGCCGTATGTGTTGGGACACTGTGCCTCTGGTACAGGCCGGCATCTTTTTGGTATGCTCTTTAGGGGGTTTTGGAAACTGGCAGTCCAAATGAGTCAAATACTGTTATGCCAGAAGTCTAGTGAGGCAGTGATACTTTGAGTATGTTAATGGTCACTGTCATAGAATATCTCCTCCTTCTGTGTTCAATTACATAGGTGTGTCTTGAAGTCCTACAGACTTCCCTGGAGGTGGGGCAGCTGGATTGCACTCTGGGTTCCAAATCATTCGATCCGATACCCCTCTGGGCTCTGACTTCCTGCCAGGCAGAACCAGGCTTGTGGGGGCCTTCAACTTACCTCTGACTGTGCAGGGAACCTTCTCCCTCTGGCTCCACAGGGAGCCTCCTACCAGTTTCAAGTAGTCTTTTTTGAAGAAAGGTCCCTGTTCTAAAATGGCGAGGCGGAGAGGCACTCTCCTGCGTGCCTTGTCTGTCTCAGCCATGGGTGTCCGCTCCCTGTCTGGGCTCGGACTGCTGGCCAGAAGGGGCGTGGCATGGGTGAACTTCCCAGCTTACCTCTGGCTCCACCGGGAGCCTTCTGCCAGTTTAAAGCAGTCTTTATTGACGAAAGGTCCCTGTTCTAAAATGGCGATGAGGAGACGCACTCTCCTGCGCGCCCGGTCTGCCCAGGCCATGGGTGCCCTCTCCTCACTATTGTTTTTT